ATTGAAAATATTTTTTTTAACTTAAAAGATAATTAGAACTAACTTAACAGGCCATTAAATTCATAAGAAATAAAATATGATGAAATTAAAAGATTTTATTACACCTAAATTTTTAAATGTTAGAATAATTTTTCTCTTTTAATAAAATGTTTGGATTTTCCTCCCTCATCCTCTTCACAAAGCTTCCAATAGCACTGAATTACATTTCAAATGTTCTTTTGCGTAAATGTTACATTCTTCATTTAGGTTGTTATTTAAGATTATTCCAAAGTGAATTTTTTAAAACTATACACAAAATAAGTTTAAATTGTTCTGAACCAAAATGCAGTGGATAAATAGTGAATGGTGACCTATTGTTTGAAAAAATTGGCAAAATGACCAGCAGCACTCAATCTAAATTGACAACATGATTGCCTGCGGTATATAGTACAACACTTTTTGCTTTAAAGTTTTTTTTATCTCTAAATAGATACTTATGTGCAAGTACAAATTTCTTTGCACTTTTCTAAAGGCATATGCAATTCATATTAAAAATATATTTTAATAAAAAATTAATATAAAACATTTAAAATGATGTTTATTGTCTGTATATGTTATTTACATTTATAATTTTTTAAAATTTATTTTTAAAAGTATAATTATAAAGTTTCTTATACATATTAACTTAGGCTAGCAGTGACTGCATTATAATGAATCATTATGCATTAATTGATTCTTCTGATGCATATTATAAACCCTACTATAGTGAATCCTGTACTATGTGAGGTATTCCTGTAGTTATAACAATAGATATTTTATCTTCCATAACTGTTTAACTTGCATTAATTAATTACACAGGTCTGCAAAAAAAATTTTTTTCCAGCTGCATGGAATATTTTTGGTGAATTATGTTTTAAAGATTGCAGATTCTAGAAATAACTTCCATTACATCCCATCACGTAAAGGTTTTTTGCAAAATAAAAACAAATTTTTGATAAAAACTCTTATTTATTACAATGAACTAAATATATATTTTCTTACAACTAATCAACAAATTGTTTCTGATATTTATACACAATTTTAGGTCTACTCTTTTTTTTAATGAAACCTTTTCTTCTTCTTTTTGATGCTTCTCCAAACTTGTTTCTGATTTCTTTCTCTGGTTTCTTGATTGAGCATCCAACAGTAATCAGCTAACATATTGACATCCCATTTTCCTTGGTAACGTCTCTCAATATCATGGACATCCGGTGAAATCTTTCACCCTGTTCTTCATCGTAGGCTCCCAAGTTTTCGGGAAAATAGTCAATATGGGAGTGTAAGAAATGAACTTTTAAGCTCATCTTGCATCCTTGAGTGTCATACATTGCTGCCAGCATGCATTGTACAATGGTTTTGTAGTCAGGGTATTAGTATTCCCCAAAAACTTATGCACTGTATTCTTGTAAGAGTCCCATGCTTCTTTTTCCTTTTCTCCCATTGTTTCCAAAAATCTGCTTTGTCTTGATCTCCAAGTTTCAATTTGAAATATGCAAATTAAACTTTCTTCACAAACTCGCTTATTTCTTTGTTGACTTTTCACTGTGTATTCACCACAAATATAACAGAAGCTGTTGGGAGAAATTACACAACCTCTGCAAGCTATATTCCAGAAATAAAAATACAAGCACAGTAGCGTTCAAATGCTGGATATAAACTGAGTGTGGCATTAGATGGCCAGCGAGATACTGAACTTATTTAGCTTGTTGAAACATGATCTAATCCAACAACAGGTTGTTTATATTTATTCCTATTATCACAGGTAACATGTCGAAACATGCTCAACCTCACCAATAATATTACTCACTATCAACTTTTAACTTGTTTCTATACAATCATGCGACCTTCCTCCTAACGCTAAAACTACTTAACCCACCTGCCCCTACCACTACTCTCTTCAACCATTAACATTTTATTTATTTATTACCAAGTCCAGCTATAATTGATAGAATTAATGTGAGAAGTCTTCGTTTTAAGGCCATTTTTTAAATAAAAAAAATACTAAATTTTAAGTTAACTAGGAATTTTATGCTAAATACGAACAAAAACTTGAGTGTAACAAAAAAAATTGACAAGATGGAATTTTTTTAGTTTTTACCAAGTTGAAATCTATAAGAAAATGTATAAAAATCCTATGCAGTTTTTTACTTGCAGACCTGTGTTATATAATTCTTGAAATAAATTATTATTTTAAATGAATAGTAATTGTAATCTTTATTGTTTAAATGTTAGATAAACATTTGAATAAATGCAAGAGTTGAATTTTTATTCTAGCTATGTCGGCTATAATATTATGGTGTTAGCTAGTTTGTATGAAAATACACTGAATGATCACTGCATTAAGAAGACTGTGCCAACACCATCTCTAAAGTGGTAAAGGAATGTTCTGTAATTGCCACATTACCATTCACTGCAGTTGTGATGTGTTGACCTGTCACTTGCATAGTAGAAGGCAATAGTTGCCAATCATAGTCAACCAGGCCGATTTTGAGTGTGGATACATCATTGAGGTTCAGAGGGAGAATGTCAGTATTTCTGAACCGGCTGCACTCATTGGTGTTCTTATACTACCATATCCAGAGTGTACCATAAGTGGATAAATCGTGCATAAACAGCCACCAGAAGATGAAACAGCAGCTGGCCATGTGTGATCAATCCCAGAGGTGAGCATTGCATGTCAAGACTAGTATCTGAACAAAGACATGACACAATAGAACAGTATGCCTGACAGCACAACAGTAGACAAGGCAGACATGTTTTAACATTGACCATGTGATGTACTGAGGTTTGATAGCCATTGACCTTCATCTGTTGACCATGTGTCATCTCAAACAACACTTTACATGGACAAAGAAAAGGTGTCATTAGACCTTGCACATGTGGAAAAAGGTCATCTGGAAGGATGAGTTCTGTTTCATGCTTAACAATGCTGATGGCCAGGTCTGAACTTGGCTTAGACAGCATGAAGCTGTATCTCCTGCTTGTACAGTTGGGATTCTACAAGCTGGTGGGGTGGTATCATCGTTTGGGGTGTTCTTTTGGGAAGGCCTGAAAAATCAAGCCAGGATGTGGCACCAGCAGATGCCACATCCATTGGTTATCATCTCACAATTCTTGAATTGTGAACAATACAGGCATCTGCTGGTAATGTGGCTATGTTTCCTTATAATAATGCCATGTTTTAAAATGATAATGCACTGTGCCAGTGGGTGAGACTCATTCAGAAATGTTGGAGGAACACAACAATGAATTCTACACATTTGCTTGGCCTCCAAACTCTTCAGACTACAGTCCTATTGAACATATTTGAGATACGTTGGAATGTTTGGCAAGGTAGTCACCCACTCCTTCATGAAACATACACCAACTGATAAAACTGCTTAAGCAAGCATGGATCCAGTTAAGAATAGATGTTTGAACTCCACTCCCAGTGTTTGCAATTCATGATTACCCAAAAAGGTGGACCAATCCTTTATTAAGCAGCTGTTCCTGATGCACTGATCTTTCAGTATAAAATCTGTAAAATTTAAACTGTGATACACTGAAAATTTACAAGATGTTGTTTATTAAATATATCTACTTTTGTTTACAAACTAATTAAATCTAAAATGATATAATTGAATTTTTTTTTATTCTTAAACACTATGTAGTGTAATAATTCAAACTCTTAGCATTTTATCATCTTTATTTAGTTCAGTTGATACATGTTTAAAATACACATTTCAGGCATAACATGCCCCTCTTCAGCCAACTTGGGATTCTTTATAAACTGGGTATCGTGGATGAATACATATTTATACAGCTTACACATTTTATTTTTGTTGTTTCCTTTTTGGGTGACAAAATTAAAAAATTGATGTACCATCAGTACAAGATTTTTTGCTTACTTTTTTATATCTGTATTCATTCATGGTTAAGATGCAATATGATATTAAATTTCAAATCAAATTCTATCTTTTACTGTTATATAAAAATTCATATTTACTAAATAAAACACAAATAGATATATCCTCATTAGCTTTACTTTATACTGTCATCTACCACTTTTGCTATGTAGTTCCATCATGGAACACTGTTTCAGATTATCAAAAATGATTGAAATAATCAAATTTATTTTTATTTATTTATTCAGACTGTTATAAAGCTTCATAACTTTCTGATAACTTGAAAAAAGCTATTATAGTGTTTTGGTATTATAAGATTTTATATAGATAAATAAATATTACTAAATTAACTTTAGGAAAATATTCTAGATTAATTTTCTTAAAATTAATCAAATGTTGGATTTATTAACATTATATTATCTGTTTTGAATATTTATGTTGTGTAATACAATGGTGCCTTGACTTACAAGTTCCATTTGTTCCATGACAAAACTCATAATTCAAATTACTCGTATGTTGAAACAAATTGAAATGCCATTAATCTGTTCCAGACCCCAAAACACCACAATTTTTTTGTAACATATTTTAAATAAGAAAATTATACTTATAAATAACAAATATTGTATAAAAACACAATAGAATGTACTGTAATAAATTGGTTTTGCGGATGTTGTGGCGTTCGCTGCATAGATAAAGAAAGAAAAGATGGAAAATTTGAGAAATGAGATAGAGTGGTGCTGCACACAACAGGCTAGTTACTTGACCATGTTTTTCTATAAGCTAGCGTGTAAGACATTGAAAGAATAATGAAAATGATGAAATTATGACAGTTTTCCATCTTTTTCTTAATCTATGGTTCGTTGCACCAACTAGTGGTGGGGTATCTGAAACTGGCTCGTAACCTGAATTTTAGCTCTCAACTCCAAGCAAAAAATTAGTGGAGAGACTGCTCATATCTTGAAAAACTCGTAAATTAGGACACTTGTAAGACAAGGTACCACTGTATTTCCTTCTTATTTGAACTCTAATTAGTCTTTCGTACAGAAAACTAAGAATTTTAAAATTAAATTTCTTTTTAATTTATTTTTTTTCTTTTAGAAAAAGAAAAATGACTTCTTCATATCAGTTAGTGAAGCCTACAATCACTTCATCAAAATTAGTATTAAATAATCTTTTATTAGGCTTTTATCTTTAAATTTAATAACTGCACATAATTGCTGAATATAATCATTTTAGAAATGTGATCATGGCTTCTAGCAAAGATCAGTCAGAAAATACTATGTCAGAAACATTAAGGATATGGAATGCAATAAAATTATTTCAGCTAATTTTAGGCATAATACTTTATACCAGCATATCAGGAAAAGTTCTTTCACAAGATCTTCAAATGATAGAAAAATTGTCTGGACAGGATGTTAAAAGGTTTTGGGGAGTTCCAGACACAGTTGCTGCAGTTGGTCGAATATTCAAATGTTCAATTCCACTTGATTCCTTTTCAGGACAGATAGAACATTTTGAGGTAAATATTTTACAAGTTAAGATCTATTGAATGTACTAACACTATTTATATTAATTGAATATAATTATTAATGTTAAGGTTTCTAAAGCTGGTGAGGATCGTCTTCCTCTCTGGTTGAATTTTGATCCAGTAAATAACACATTTTATGGAGTGCCAACTGAACAAGATTTAGGACAGCATTATATTAGTGTTAAAGCCTATGGTAACATCTATAATTCAAGCAGTAAGTATATTAAATATTTCAGTCTTTATAAAGTTCCAAACTTTTCCAAAATTTTTTTGTAACTTTAAGTAGAATAACTTCAAACATTGAATATTGATAATTATTATATAATGATAAATGTTGCATATATTTAAATTTAATAATGAAATAATAGAAAATCCATTATAAAAGTTCCATAAAGGGTCATCCATTAATTTTGTGTACAGTTTAAGGGGAGAATTACAAAAAGTATGTAATTGTATACAATGGGGATGATAAGCAGTTGAGGCATTGTCTGTATGTACTTTTTTAGTGGTATTAGTGATGTATGAATTTGCATTTTTAAGCCTACTTGTTAGGTAAATTATTGTTTAGAAAATATTTGCAGAATTTTTAAAGCCATTTCTCAGATGCTGGAGTCCAAGTCATGTTTTTCAGTTTTTCCATTATGCTTGTGAAGTGAACAGCTGTATGAAATACGAAAGGTAAATGACCTGTAAAGACCAAATATGAATCTTACTTCCAACATAAACCAAAAACGGTGCTTAATTCAACTTTTACGTCTTTTACTAACGTTTTCGAACCACTGGTTCTTCTTCAGGTGAAAAAACAGGCAAACTAATTTACATTCGATTGAGCTGATGTAAATTAATTTGCCCGTTTTTTCACCTGAAGAAGAACCAGTGGTTTGAAAATGTTAGTGAAAGATGTAAAAGTTGAATTAAGCACCGTTTTTGGTTTATGTTGGAAGTAAGTTTTATAAGTCGCAGTGTGTTGTGAATGTAATACAGTAGACCCCCCTATAACGCTTAGATACGTTCCATGCTAACCGAAAATTATGTTGTAGGAATGATTAAATACATGAGCCAATCGCAGCCCGATAGGTGGGAACTTTACGGACTAAGGCTGTTTAAAAGGTTTTCTTCTATAAAATTAACCGATTCTAGACTAATTCCACTCAACATTTCCAAAACACGTATAATTTTTTGGGAATAATCCGTATAAACTATGCTATAAACAAAAAATTATAGGATTACTTACCGAGTGTGTACCGTTCGACTACGCCGTTGCTTAAAGCTGGTTTTCATCGCGGAACAGCACATTAAACGGCGGCCGCGATTTCTAATAACGAATTTTTCGCATAAAAATAACTTGACCTTTGGAGACATCATTAATATAAATAATTTTTATGGCCGTTGAATAAGAAGTGTTTCTTTCACAAGAAATGTATAAAATTAGTGCTGTATTAGACTTACGGTACCTAATTTACATACTGTACAGACGATAATAAACTCAACTTACTAGCCTAAAATCTCCGTAGCGTGTTGCCAGGCGGCAGAAAGCATATATATAATTATAATAAAGTTACAATAAATTAAGTTAATATATAATTATATATACAGTACCTAATTTATATATAATTAATATATAATTATATGTACAGTACCTAATTTATATATAATTTATATATAATACTAAACAGACGATAGCAAACTCAATTTAGCCGCTCCGTAGCGTGGCGCAGGGTCAGAGGAAAGTAGTTCGGCTGCTCATTCACTATTGGTCCAGACTCTATCAATCTTCTCGCGAAACGACGTTATAGGAGGCACGTTATACGAAAATTGCTACAATTTTTTCGCTACGTTATAGGAACGTACGTTATAGGGGGGTCGACTGTATTGTCCAAATATGAATATTTTATTATTATTTTTTTGACACATCAATGAATGTTTTGGTGTTTTCTGTCCATTTTCTTTCTTTTTTCTGTAATCAGTCTGTCTTCATTTCCAAAGACAAAGCACGTTGGTTATCAAAGATCTTTTTCATCACTCATAGTTCATGACTTTTCATCAACCGTTTTTCCATCATAGCAGGTCTTTTTAATAGTCAATGTTTCAAATATCAAAATACAAAGAAATTGAGGAGGCTACCATCAGGACTCTTCACTGGGTTGTTATTGTTAATCATACTTAGTCTATCACTTGCCTTGTGTTTTTGGGTGCATACCTTAGTTTTTTTAGATGATGTGTGACATTGCCACATTGTAATAAGTGATAATTTTGTGCAATTTCAGTTTTAGCATATAGTTTCAGAAGATTTACTTTCACTTTTGGGTTAAAACCTTCCTAAAACAGTAGTCTGTGTTAATCTTCACTGTTTTTTGATACTTTAATGAGCAGTAGTGCTTGTCATCTGGACAGTGCACTGATGACATAAAATTTTTAAAAATTATCCTTGTCAATAACCCAATCTTCTGAGACATTTACTCTTAAGAACATAACATATCTTTCTCTTGCCATTTACATTGTGAATTCCAAATGTAGCTTCATCTAAGGAAATAATAAATTAGGACTTGTCTTGCTAATGTTTTCTTGGAGAGCTTTCTACATACAGTCTTGTGGTTTTGCATTTGTTGTGCATTTTGACTTTCTAGCAATATTTTTGTCCAGCTTAGAAAGTATATGATGAACTGTCTGGGATATCTTGATTTTCTTTGCCATCTTCCTATGGCTAGGTGAATTTTCCAGTTTCACATAAAATTCATTTTTGTTATGTCAATCTCTGTCTGTTATTGTTGAGACTTTAGCTTGCTGAACTTTGACAGACAGGTGAGAGGTCTTTACACTGTCTCAATTTTTTTCCATTTAAAATGTTATGAACTGCTGTTTTGGAAATAGCATGTCCTTCTGACTTTCTCTCCTGATCTCTCCACTAAGATGCTCTAGGTCAGTCCATCTTTGGAAGACCTAAAACTAACCTTTCAGATCTATTTTCTTAGGCATGGTAATTTATTTTCTTTGAAAATTCCATGAAACATTCAATAAGATATACCTATTCACTGTGCATATGTTTAAATTTGCCATGTCAATTGCATTTTTATGTCCATGACATATTTCAGCTTGGTCTTTATAGGATCATTCCCCTTTTGTATTAATGGTAAGTAAAATCTTCCCAACTTGTTATTATCAATGCTATTAATCACATACTCTGAACTGATTATGGTGTGCACATAAACAAAACAAAAACAAACATTTTCAAACTCCATCCAAGTTCTTCACCAGACTTCATAACAATTACCCAATGGATCTTTGTAAAAGCTTTTTGGAATAAAAATTTGAACAAGTGTTCAAATATAAGTTTGAAAAATTAAAAACCATGTTGTCAATTAACAGTTTGTTAAGTACCTGTAAGGCAACTGAATGTGCAGGTGCAACATGGTTTTTAATTTTTCAAACTTATATTCAAATACTTGTTCAAATTTTTATTCCAAAAAGTTTTTACAAAGATCCATCGGGTAATTATTACAAAGCCTGAAGAAGAACTTGGATGGAGTTTGAAAACGTTTGTTTTTGTTCTATGTGCACACTGTAATCAGTTTGGAGTATGTGATTAACTAAATCCCAGTGCGGGAGTGGTTGTTTATCAATGCTATTGAATAAATGAAAAAGTGATCACTTCTTTCACTCTACATTTGAAGCTAGCTTTGGATGCAGTTCAGGAAGTCTCTTTTTCAATGGCTGTAGTTGCTCTTGTTACTTTTACTAACCTGGAGGCTTGCTCAGAGGCCTGTAAATATAAAATAGTTTTGAATATATAATGTTTGGACAATAATATTTTTAAATTAATAAGAAATAAAATTACAGTATATTTAGTTTCATCTCAAAAGTTTATATTAAATATAAATTTATTTGTTGATGTAAGTAATAGAAACAGATAATATAGCAAGTCCTCAAACTTAAATGTTTTATTTAGTGTTTAACCGTGTAACACCTTCCATCACTGAGAATACTTTATTTAAACACAAACGTTTTCAGCCTAATGGAATAGGTAATCTTCAGGTGAACTGGCATTCAAACGTATTTCAGAATTGTAATAAATGGAACGTTCGATCATTATAAATTCAAATTTAAAACGAAAAATAGATAAATTAACAAATAAATAACAAAATAAATACACTAAATACATTGAAGCCATAACAATATAAATAATACTAATAAAATTTATTCTATTTCAATAACAATATAACAATATAAATAATAAAATAAAATGAAATAATTTTATTTTATTATTTATATTGTTATGGCTTCAATGTATTTAGTGTATTTATTTTGTTATTTATTTGTTAATTTATCTATTTTTTGTTTTAAATTTGAATTTATAATGATCGAATGTTCCATTTATTACAATTCTGAAATGCATTGGAATGCCAGTTCACCTGAAGATGACCTATTCCATTAGGTTGAAAATGTTTGTGTTTAAATAAAGTATTCTCAGCGATAGGTGTTAAATGTTTTATTTAGTGTTTAAAAGAAGCTGAGTTTGATATTTAATTACTTACACAGTTAATTTATTTTGAAGGTCTGTACACAAGTCAAATGGTGTTTAAATATTATGCATTTTTAACATCTATATCCATTTCAAAAGGTACTTAAAATTAAGTAGCCCTGCTCATGGAAAGAAGACTTTGAGAAAATAAAAGTTTTTAATTTTTCAAAGTTTTACCATCTATTATGTATATTCAAAATGACACTTAATAGATGGCAAAAGTGAAACTATTGAACTGCCTGTCTCTGAATCCACATGTCAGAGACTTACTGCATAGTTTAAGTTATGTAATTAATAAAATTTGAATGCAGTTAAAAATTAATTGTTATTAAAATAAGTTAATAATTTTCTATTGCAGTTCACTCTATAGCAGCCAAAGATGTATTTTCTATTGAAGTTTTGGATGAACCAATTGAAATGCTATCTCAGTCTAATGTGGAAATATTGAAATGTCCAACAGGACAATCTCCAACAATAGCTGCAATAGCATTTGATGCTAATATTGAAGACCTTAGTCCCACAAAAAGAATTAATCTCTTGACAAAAATGAGTGTTTTAATAAAATTTCCAGTAGATGCATTGAAATTAATCTCTGTAGGTCCAGATGATCAAGTTTTTGATGAATCTGCAATAATGGCTGGAGCTGGAAATGTAAAAATTCGTCAACATACAGGTGTTATTGTACAATGGCAAGTTGGCTGTTCTGGTAATATAAATCATGATCAATTAGTATATTTATCAGATATAGAAAAAACTGCAAAAAACGGATCATTATCAGATATTTTCAATCTTCCTATCATTGGATGGCATGTTTCTACACTTCATCCACATTTTTCAAGAGAAAAGCGGCAATTATGGTATACCCATGCTACTCCTGTTCTTGGAATCTTACCCACACAGTTAACACATATTACAGAAAAAATTGAAACAGAACCAACTGAAGAATCCATTATTCCAGAAACCCGCATTATTCCAACAATGGCATCTCCAATTTTTTCTTCTAATACCCACCATCACCGTCACCATCACAGTGATCGAAATAGAGGATATAATAGAGAAAAAGATATTTTACCCACCTCAGTTGTATCTACTGTTCATTTTCAACACATTTCTGCAAGTCCAGTTGCTATTGCAACACCTTTATTTGTCCCTGAAAAACCAACAAAATATATTGCCGTGTCTTCTGTTGATCCATATGGAAGAAATTATCCAAATGAATTTACTCCTATTGATACTTTAATGTCTTCTATGACAGTACCTATAAATAAAATAACTGAAACTGAAATTTTGCCATCCCGTACGTATATTATAACAACTGATCTGTTAACTTCAGAAATAAAGCCTACTAAAACTGAAATGACTACAGATTCAACAAAACGTCCACCTTCTATACCAAATTTTAAACCAACAATAAACAGCCGGATGAGAAAATTATCTATGGTTGCTGGTAAGGTATGGTCTTACAGAATACCAAGAGATACGTTTACAGATATGGAAGATGGAGACACTCGCAATTTGAAATTAATTTTTATGACTGCAGAACATACTGCAATTCCATCCTCTTCTTGGATTCAATTTGATCCAGAAAAACAAATGTTATATGCACTTCCTTTGGAAGAGAATATTGGAAAATATGAATTTATATTAGAAGCAATGGATAGTGAAGGAGCTTCAACTTTTGATAAATTAGAAATACATGTTTGGCAACATCAGTCTGCTCGAGCCGTCAATCATGAGTTTTCAATGACACTAAAATTTAATAAATGGGAATTTCCAATAGCTGTAGATTGGCAGATTGAAGTAGTCAGAAGATTAGCTAGCTTTTATAAAGATAAAAATGAATCATTTATCACAGTTCAGGTTGTTAACACAGATCCTTTTATGATTACATGGACAAATGATTCACTTCCTGCATATCCTTGTCCCAGAGAACAAATTTCTCAGCTTATGAGTAAATTATTTTCTGGTGGAAATGGAGAGGTATCTAGACATCTGAAAAAATCCATGGGACCAGAATTTAGAGTTCAAAACACAACTGTCAACTTTTTAGGTGTGTGTCAGACTCCTGCTTCAACTACATCTTCAACTCACACAAATTTTGGACCAATGTTACGTAATGCAATAGAACAAATAAATACCACAGTTGGTGAAATACTTCGGTTTAAAGTTCCTGATGATACTTTTTATGATTTTGAAGATGGTAGTACTAGATATTTATCTTTAACTTTCCTCAGGATAGATAATAAGCAGCCACCAAAATCATCTTGGGTTCAGTTCAATCCAAAATCACAAGAACTGTATGGTCTTCCATTTGAAAGCAATGCTGGAAGACATGAATTTCAAATGGTTGCTGTAGACAGTGACGGATTACAAGTAAATGATGCATTTGTTATCATAGTTCATCCAAGGCAATCAAAGAAAAGAAGTGTAGAGTTTAGTTTGCATTTAGATTTATCTTATGATGAATTTAGTCGAGATATAGCTAAAAAAGTGTTAGTTGCATGGAAACTGGCTAAATTATATGGTGATCCTGATCCCAGATATATTACTGTTAGCTCTATAAGTAAAGGTTCTGTTGTGTATGCTTGGACTAATAATACTTTACCTCATGATCCTTGTCCAAAAGAAAAAATTAGTCAACTAGTTAAATATTTATTTAATGAAAATGGTACTATATCTTCTCGACTTACAGAAGCACTACAACCTGAATTTAAAATTATTAAAGCAGATGCAATGCCCCTAGGTATTTGTCTAGATAAAGTAACACCAACTTCTGTGACAGTCACTCCACCACCCTCTACTGAAGAATCTCCTCCCATAGCTTCAGCTGATGATGATATTTATATTACTACCATCATACCAGCAGTTGTAATTGCTGTAATGTTGATTGTTGCTACAATGATTGCTTGTTTCCTGTATCGAAAGAAGAGGAAAGGTAAGATAACAACACAAGATAATAGCACATTTATTAGTAAAGGAATTCCAATAATATTTGCTGATGAATTAGAAGAAAAACCTGATCCTGCAAAAGCTCCCATAATTATGAAAGATGAGAAGCCACCATTATTAGCACCAGAATATCTTCGCTCATCCATTAGTAGTAGAGATTCAACACCACAAATGGAAAGACATGAACCTAGTCACATGCAAGATACAAATGCTGATCTCCACCCTGATCCAAATTCATCACCACCATATCAACCTCCTCCTCCATTTACTGCAAATCGTGACAATAAAAATTCTAGACCAAAAGCTACACCAACATATAGACAACCTCCACCATATGTGCCTCCTTAAGTGTTCTTGTCAGGGCAGTGGGTGCCTTTATTATTTTTATGTTTATAATCTCAAGTGCTTTCCTTTGAATTTAATTTACAGTGATATTATTTCATATTATAATGTTTGCCAAAAATATTATTATCTACATTCTTTTTATTTTATATATTTTACCAAGATGATATATAATGCTTTCCAGACAAGGTACTATCATCTTACCACCAATATTATTTATCACTGCCAATATTCATTTATTAAGTCATATTTATATTATTTATCTTTTATGTTGTAATTATACAGATGTGTGTGTGATTTTTATACATATATTTTATTAATTTTTAATGTTTTAAGATAAACTTATTTTATATTATTTTTTGATTTTATAATTTTTATTCTTATTCTTTTACTATAATTTTATTGTTTTTGGTAAGTTCGTGTACATTGTCTTGTCCCACAAAACTAATNCTTTGAATTTAGTTGATTGTAAGTATAATCTTTTGAAAAAAAAGGAACCTTCGAAATTAAATCCTGTTTTGGTTCCACATATTAGTGTGAATCTTTACTTTCCACCATAAATATTATAAAATCAAAAATCAGATCTCAACTTACTAATGCAGGGCTTAATCTTCTATTGTAGAAATGTGCTCTTGTATTCGTAGCCTCTTGCAAGTTTTGTTATAACAACTGTACCATTTTGTGACTATAGATTATAAATATTATTTTAAAATTTGTATGTGTTTCTTGATGTCGGTTCAAATAATGTGATGTTTTGTGAATGTTCCATATAGTACAAACTAGTACATGCTTTATGTGACTTACTAATATTATATATTGCAGTTACTTGCTATTAGAAATTGAATGAATGAATGAATATTTTAAGAACAAACGAGTGCAATTGAAATGGTCTTGTGTGTATTAAAATTTGATTATGTCAGTATTAATTATATCTTCCAAATTTCATCACTAATAGTATCTTGTATATGTTTATAACTGTGAAATATTGATGTCTTTGCTGATAACAATAATCTGATTAATCATTATACAATATATGACTATTCATATCAGTACTGAAGTGTAATACAGCAATAGGATTGATTTTAAAGAGAGCACAATTTTGTGATATTTCAAAATTTAAAGATGTGAAGATGCTCAGGTATGCACCTTCTTAAGTTATTTATTGAATGTAATGCACATTTTTTTTAATAAATTTAAAAAATCAAACTTGTATTAGTTAAACTGTTTGTTACATTAAATTTATATTATATAATTCTAGACTTTCACATAATTTGACAAACTTTTATGTTTTTATAAAGCACATAATACACTGGTCATAGTAGTATAAATTTCATAATACTTTTTCCTTAGACTGTTGATATGTTATCTATTTTATGGTTTACAAATACTGGTAAAGTAAATTTCATTGCTTGAATATAAAACAAAAGTATGATATTATACATGTTTGCAAATATTGCTTTTCAATTAATATTTTTAAAAAATAATTCTTATATTCAATTGTTAATTCTCAATTTTGTGAAAATAAATTCAAATGCAAAATTTTTGCAAAAGAAATTTGATTTTCTTTTGCTAAAATAATTTTAAGAATTTGGAAGTTTTTTTGAAAAAGAAAGATTTGAAAATAATGTACAAACAAATTTATAATTTAAGTAAAGTTTAGCATTCTAATTGATTTTATTAATATTTTACATAATTTTAATAACAATTCCATTATACAATTCAATAAACTTTATACATAAATCAAAAACTGTACAGATAACAGGCATACATAAAACATTTTTATGTATCAAGGAATGATATTTATATAAATATTCTACCGTGCACTTTTATCTAAGCTCTTTGGTTTCACATTGTTGGAGCATCCATTACAAAAAGTCGAGTTTCCTCTCGTTTAATCCAATGCACAACTTCTTTCATAGCTGTGGAAGCATCAAATTTGGTGACTAGTGGTTCAAATGTAGCATAAAGTTCAAATCCTTGCATATGCTACAATGAAAATTCAAAGAATTTAACATCTTATTAATTTAATAATGTTTGTGGTTTTTAGATGTATCATTAGAATAATTATATATGTGTATCTTATTTGGTATTTATTTTTGATGATAAAAAACAAAAGTTAATGTCTACTTCAAAATAAATTGAATTATATAATTAATAAGTAATAAATTATATAATATTTATTCTACAAGTAATAGATAAAATATGTTTAAATTATTTCTCAATATTTTTAACAAAACAATAATGTTAAAGTTTGGAATTGATAGTAAGCTTGCTTCTATTTTCAGGAAAGTTATGGTAGTAAAAATTTTTATTTTATCAAGTCCTGCTAGTCTGAACTAATTGGGACAGAGCCCTGTTCAGATTATCCGAATAACTGAAATAAATAATGCAGAAGCAAGCAAGCAGTAAAACAGATTTGGTTTATATATATCCAATGCCATCAATGATGTCAGTACCCCACCCTTTATTTCATCTGACTTGTACTCAATAGAGGGCACAAAGAGTTAACAGAAACAAGTTTTGTAATTTTGAAATGGCAACCTGCCTTCATTGTTTACCATAAAATTATTTTAACTGTGAAAAAAATGTTGTTTTTAATACAAAGTCTAGGATTCCAATCAGTTGACTGATGCTACTTTGTGAGTTAGCATGCTTAATTGTGGATGTTGAATCTACTCTTCGCGCCACATTATTTTATTGAAATAATGCAAAAGTTCATCCCGTTTTTTTTTAAATCAAAGAAAAACTTTATTTACTAAAAATTACATTTAATCAATATAGTACAGTATATGCCATTCTGTTCGATGATCTTTCTCCATCTCTCTGGTAGCTGCCTAAGCCCGTGCTCATAGAAGTTCTGAGATTTCTGGCTAAAAAACTGATCCAGGTGATTATTCAACTCTTTCAAGGAAGTCTTTTTTAACTGACATATGTGAAAAATTGAACAGTTTAAACCTGAATCTCCAGGGAAAAAATTAACATCTAGCTGAAATGATTAGCTCTATTAAAGCATTCAAAGCCAAACTACAGATTTGGATAAATAATCTGTCAAAAAATGTGATTGTTGAAAATAATTTTGACCTAACATTATTTATTACTCATCTTAAAAACTTTTGAAAGTAGATTCCAGCAATTTATCATTATCAAACCCCGTGGCTACATTTTTTTGTAAATCCACTTACTACACAAGTAGACATTACTGAAACTGATAAATCTATAGAAGAACTTCTTCAAGAAGAAACGATGAAAATTGAAAAAGAGATTTTATTTTCGACTTTCAAAATGACATTATATTAAAATCTAACGATACAGATGAAAACTTTGAATTTAGTTGATTGTAAGTATAATCTTTTGAAAAAAAAGGAACCTTCGAAATTAAATCCTGTTTTGGTTCCACATATTAGTGTGAATCTTTACTATCCACCATAAATATTATAAAATCAAAAATCAGATCTCAACTTACTAATGCAGGGCTTAAAGTGACTCTTTTTTTTAGCTTTTTCTGAGGCAAACTTGCTTTTTTAGCTTCCCATGTGGAATTTATTTATTTGTTTTTGTAAATGCGTTCAGGAGCAAAATAGCAACCAGCACACCTCCATACTGCAATCCTCCAACATTCAAGCTGCAAGAAATATATAAATAAATGCAATGAAGCCTTTGGTCCCAAGCAGTTAAGATTGATGATTGCCCCTCAGATGTCAAAGTATTAGTGCTAAAAGTGTTGCTAGTGTGAGCAATGTTGTAGACTCAAGTGCCAGTTCAGAATACCAATATTTGTAACAACTAGTGCTTCAACTTTGTAGTGCAAAAGATGGTGCTTACATTGCAGAGCTTATATGGAATATGAAAATGACAGTCAGCAATTATTCGTTTGTATTGTGTCATGATATAAAGGAGACAATCTTCCAAAAGAATTCTCGTTGTCACATCAAAAAATGAGAATCTTAATCACTGAAGCTTTGGCCCCCATATTTCTTTGATCAAATGGTAGATGATGCACAATGGTCTTATTATAGCATTTCTTATGATGAGACATGCAATGTAGAAGACAGAAAATAACTGCAAATACTGATTAGATACTGGTCAGAGGAACAACAGGAAGTTGTCTGCAGACATCTCCAGACCTCATTTACTGGGCATGCAGATGCCGAAACAATTAAATCAAAAATAATACTAGCAATTGAAGATGCATATCTACCTTTTGATAAATTACTGATGATTTGATGCAATGGACCAAACGTATACAAAAAAAGTATTGCATCTCATAAATGAGGAATTTCTGACAACTCGCAAAAAAGGCCTCATCAACATAGGGACTTGCAGCATTCATACAATCCACAATGCCTTTTTGAAAGACCTGAAAGAGTTGGGTGGAGATGGTAGTGATCTCATCATAGCTTTTTTGATGGGTGGCCCTCTAGGAGGGATGAATACACAGAAATTCAAGAGAAACTTAATTGCCATGCAACAAATTTATGAAGTATTCATCAATTAGATGACTGATGTTTGGTCCTGCAGCAAAACGACTGATCGAACAATGGGAAGGACTCATATACTTCCTAAAGCACATTCCTCAAGAATTCCAGCTTAATGAACAGTGTTTCATATAAGATTATCTCAAAGTCATCAAAGCTGAATTCTATTTGGAAATATCTAGTGCTGAACTATTCACAAAGTTTACTGGGCATTTTTAGTGTAATGATCCTTTAATACATAAACTTTATAGTGAATTGCTTACTCTGGTGTGAAGAAAATTCAGTGTGATGAAGAGGAGAAAACGAGAAGTGCAGAAACTACAGCATGACTTAAACAAAAGAAAATCATCTTTAATTTCAAATTTTTTTTTTAACAAGAAATCAAAAAATGTACCTTGAAATAAATGGCATTTGAAATTTGACATTATATGGAGACACAGTCTGGTAGTTATATGGCAAAGGAAATGGAAGAGTAACATAATGGTAGGAACTCCTCGTACAGGGCACATGAAAACTTAAATGCAGGCCCATTCTGACTTAATGCAGTCTTACTGGTCACTTTTCTTGAGTATAAACTCAGCCTAACTATTTTCATATTTAATTTTTTCAGTCCAATTAAAAATCAATCTAAAAACATATGCAATGTTATTGATACAAGATGTGTGTGTGTGTTTTTAATAATGCCTCTTTTAGTTCACTTTAACACTATTAGCTTTTTTCAGCGTGAATGCTCTTTTTTCACTCTTTTTCACTGCCATGACTGCTTTAAGCCCTGCTAATGCCAAGTTTGAAGATTGTTTACAATTGGGATTACCATCTTACACTCCCAACTGTGAAAAATTAGCAAATGAATTGCAGTGTCAAAGATTGCACTAATTCAGCTTTTATAATAAATATATGTTATAGTATATATTATTTACTAAATTATTATACTAATATATATTAGTTATATATATATNACAAAATGCATGTTATAATAAAGGACATACTATTTAATTTTTTTCTTTTTAAATCCAATTTGCCCCCGCCACTATTTTTTGTAATCTCAAATGTGCCACAAATAGATTGGGAACCCGTGATCTAAATAAATGGTAGTCGGAAGGTGCAAGGTCAGGAGAGTATGGTGGATGGACCAAAACATATGAATCAAATTGTAAAAGTTTTTGTCAGGTGGCCAAAGACACATGTGATCTAGTGTTGTCTTGATGGAACAGGTTGCTTCTGCTCAATTGCTCACTTTAATTCACTTAGTTGTGAACAGTATTTCTCTGAATTAATGGTCTGATTTTCAGGTAACAGCTCATAATAAATGATTCCTTCCAATCCCATCAAATGCTTAGAATAACCTTCTTCAGATGTAAACTGGCTTTTGCACTGGTTGAAGAGGCATCTCCATGCTTACACCATGATCTTTTATGCTTAACATTATTATACACAATCCATTTTTCATCACCTGTAACCATCTGCTTTAAAAATGGATCGATTTCATTGTGCTTTAATAGAGAATTACAAGCAGAAATTCAGTTTATCAAATTTTTCTCCATTAACTCATGCAGCACCCATACATTGGCCTTGCTAACCATTCCAAGTTAACGTAATTGCCTTGACACTGTTGACTGGTTGATTCCAAGAATTTCTCTGATCTTGAGCTGTTTTATGTCGATCACTTTCAATTAGTGCCAATATTTCATTGTCATCAGCCTTGGCTGGTCATCCAGAACATGGTGCATCGCTAAGATTAAAATTGTTTTCATGAAACTTTCTGAACCACTTATGGCACATGGAATCATCAATGGCTCCTTCATCATACACAGAACATACATCTTCTTTTGCCTCTGCAAAGCATTCTTGACTTTTCAGAAATAAAAAAGCATATGTCAAAAATGCTCCTTATTTTCCGCCATTTTTAATACTTAATAAAATTTTTAACACAACTAAGTAACAACTTTTTTCTCAAGTACAAGCTGAAATCCCTTTTGTCAAACATAAAAATTTTACACATGTGAAGGAAATAATACTTCAATGTTGCGATGCAAAACCATGTGCTAAAAACAGGAGGAACTTTTTCATCAACCCAATACTTTAGTCTGCTGCTACAATGGCCACGAAACAGAAACACAACATGTACATTAAAAGATAAGTTTTGAAAAGGCTGGACAAGAGTGAAAGTGCAACAAAATTGGCAGTAGAGTTTGGAGTGAGCAAGGCCACAATAACTGACTGGGAAAAAAACCGTACAAAGATCGAGCAGTTTTTTGCCTCTATTTCAGAAAAATCAGTTGAAAATCAACAAACAGCAAAGCCCTCAATGTTTGACAAGCTTGATGAAGCCCTATTCATGTGGTTCACTCAAGAAAGAGAAAGGGAAACACCCCTAAGTGGACCTCTTGTTAGAGAAAAGGCCATCTCAACAAACTAATGAATCATTTAGTGCAAGTACTGGTTGGTTTGATTGCTGGAAGAAGTGCTACGGGATTTGCCAGCTAATGATCACCAGGGAGCAATTATCAGCTGATCATGCTGCAGTAGAGGAATATTTGGGTGAGTTCACTGATTTGGTATCACATTATTCACCTCAGCAGATATATAATGCTGATGAGACAGGTTTAAATTTTAAGGCTTTACCCACAAAAAGTCTAGCATTTGTAGAAGAAATGCATGCCCCAGGTTTAAAATGAATAAGGAGCAAGTGATGTTGATGGCTTGTAGTAATACTTCAGGAAATCAAAAGCTACCTTTGATGACATTAACAATCTTCCAGTTCATTACAAAAAAAAAAAAAGCTTGGATGAACAGACAGCTTTTCATTGAGTGGCTTCATAATCAATTTGTCCCAGCAGTGAAACATTTCAGCAATGAAAATGATCTACACCTTGTGCCATTCTCCTCACAGACAATACACCATCCCACCCAGAAGTTTCTGAGATGACATTAGGAGATATATAAAGGCAGCTTTCTCATCGCCTAATGTAACACAGTTATTACAGCCCATGGACCAGGAGGTATTACAGTTTATTAAGCTAGCATACAGAAGGAAATATCTTATGTTCTTGTTAGAAGATAACTCCAATTCACTTTCCTTACATGAGAAAATTAAACAAGTGAACATAAAAGATGATGTGTATTGGGTTGCTGAGTTGTGAGAGGGTGTAACTGAACAGTTCATAAAAAATCATGGAAGAAATTATGGTTCTGACGAAAACAATGAAAGAGAGCAATTAATTCAGCTAGTACAGAAAATTCCCAGGTGTAAGGAAGCAATAGAATCTAACATTAATTAACGAATCGATGGAAGTGGATGGAATAGGTTATTGAAACCTGTCGGATGAGGACATCATGACAGCTGTCACCCAAGAAGACTCCAAGCAGAATGATGACAAGCCTGGTGGTACTGTGGACCAACTTGTGTCACACACAGATGAGGCTGCAGCCTTTGACCTCGCTTTACGCTACTTTGAACAACATCCCAGCACTTCACCCACAGACTGCATGTTTACAAGGCAGTGGTGAAACATATCATCTTCTAGCTGACTTTCATCGTTACATCAAAAGAAACTAACAGACTTCATTATTTTGTTCCTATTTTTGTGTCTAAGTACTGTATAGATTTCCTGTTTTAATAGGCCATGTCAAACACTGATTTATTAATTTTGTACAGTATTACAATAAAATACAATTTTTTGTGGAATTTTAAATGTTTTAGTACCATTAATGCCATTTAAATTTAACTGGAAAATAAAAAAAGATGTATATTTTGCGAGCTAAAAAATTTCCTCTCAGCCAACCAAAATATCTTTGGATTAGTGGTGTTCAGACTAGCAGGACTCTACTGTATCATCATTGTCAGTTATCAGAGTTTTAATGATTGAAATTTATAATTATCAAATTTATATATATAACTCAAAATATTGATAAAAGCCCTTCAGAAAAGTCAACTGTAATTATCTCAAATACAATTTGTGTTATAAACACTTAATATTATGCTTGAAAATGTTAATATTTTGGTATGTTCTTTGGAACTTAGCCTAAAGTTGCTATTGAGAACAAATCATACAGGAACACTCTTTTTGATGGAAAAAGTAGATGTAAATTAAAAAATAAATCTACTTTTTCCATCAAAAACAGTGTTCCTGTATGATTTGTTCTCAATAGCAACTTTAGGCTAAGTTCCAAAGAACATACAACTAATTGAGAGAACAGAAAATAATCAAATAGTGTTAATATTTTTAATCATTATTCTCTACAGCTAAGTGAGAACACTAGCAATAAATTGTTAAATGAAATTAAATGTGGCTTTAAATTATTATTTTTCAAGCTATTGCAGTTCAAATTCAATGTAGTACACAATTATGATTTATCTTTAATCTTCATAATTTGAAGTTTAGACTATGTACAAAAAGTCAAAAATAACTTTTGAGTCCATCTTCATCCCTTATACACTACCACAGAAGTAACAGTCTTAAAAAATGCTTTGAAGAAATCTTCTTATACACAGGTAAAAATTGGTAAAAATTTCACAAAGTTAAAAAAGATCAAGTGTCAGCCTTTCATTTTAGGTTTCTGACACTTTTACAATTAAAAACCACAAAGAAATTCTTCACACAATCATTTTTATCCAGCTTTTTAAACTGCTTCTAGCCCTCTAGTGGTAGTAACGAGTATCTAACATTATTTGCATATAGTTACAATTTGTGATTACTCAAGATGTATTTTCTTCATAATTTGAAGTTTAGACTATGTACAAAAAGTCAAAAATAACTTTTGAGTCCATCTTCATCCCTTATCTTAATCTTCATCCCAAATTTCTTTGTGGTTTTTAATTGTAAAAGTGTCAGAAACCTAAAATGAAAGGCTGACACTTGATCTTTTTTAACTTTGTGAAATTTTTACCAATTTTTACCTGTGTATAAGAAGATTTCTTCAAAGCATTTTTTAAGACTGTTACTTCTGTGGTAGTGTATAAGGGATGAAGATGGACTCAAAAGTTATTTTTGACTTTTTGTACATAGTCTAAACTTCAAATTATGAAGAAAATACATCCTGAGTAATCACAAATTGTAATTATCTTTAATCTGTTATTTAAGATATTTGGTATATATGTTCTAAACTATACATGGCAAGAAACAAAATAGCAGAAAGAAGTTTGAAGTTGTGTGTCAATCAAAATCAAGATAAAAAAAAAACAATATTTGTTTAACTTAATCTTTTTCAATACAAATTATATACAATAGAGCATCAATTATCCGACCCCTGATTAACTGTCACATCGGTTAACCGACCGTTCTAGTCGGCAAATTTCAAATGTCTGCTAGTGATGTGGCGCTACAATATTTGGCTATGTCTTGGCTACTTTAATATTATTTTTGTTAAATTTTTGCGTGTTTTAGCTGGCAACATTGACTCGACCATAGAGGGAGGCCAGTACTGTATTTAAACGAGACTTAATTTTCTAATTATAATATGAGTAGTTGTTTGTTTTGTGAGCACTAAAATAATTTAGAAATAATTTTTAATGATAGAATAGCAACGATTATTATTTTAAAAAAAATTTGTTAGGCTTAACATTGATGAAAATTCAATGCAAAGTTGGTTAATAGCAATATACTAATTACATGGGGTATACTGTTATACTATACTAATAATGTATTTTTTTTCATTCTTTTCGGTTATCCGACCAACCCTAGTCCCCAATTGAGTCGGATAATCGATGCTCTACTGTATATGCAACACTTTTATATTAGAAATACAATTGAAAATACAAGGCCATTTGAAAAGTTTTGTCTCCTATATGATAATTTCAATAATATGCAAGATACATTAATTGTGAGTTTTGGACCAGAGTTGTAATTATTTTTCCACATAGTCACCAACCCCAAATACACACACACATACGCACATGCAAAGAAATTCAACTTCTCTTGACATCAGCAATGTACATATGCTTGCACCTCTGCATTATTGGTGTATAACACTATCCCTTCAGGTGCTCTTTAAGCTTCAGAAAAAGGAAAAAGTTTCAAGGTATGAGATCCAGGCTGTACTGTGGGTATGGTAAAATCCTATAAAATTTGAGACATTGCAATGCATCCCACGTTGTAAACTTCTGTGAAGCCTAGTATGTCATTGTGAAGAATTGCAAATATTCCTTTTTACAAAGCTTAGGACATTGCAAGTTTTAGTAGACATTCAGTTAATGTGAGCATCTAGCATATTGAAATCATAATGTAGGAGGCTAAACTTCTCAAAATGGCCTTAAATATATACTAACTATACATATATTCTTTTCTTCAATTCCTTCTGAAATTTGAATATAAAGAATTACTTTAAAATTAGCATTCTGATTAATAAGATTTATAATGACTAAATATAACAATTTTAGTTCCATACTTCCTCAATTCTAAGACACATTATTTTAAAATGTTTCCCTCTAAAAAAACATAATTTTATTAAGTTTTGTTAAATATCAAGTTATGAAAACAATCCAAATGCCATAAAATAGGTAATGTCCAACAGCTCTATTTTTATGCTCTTTTGTACATGCCCCATAATAACATTCAGAATGCAGCATGAAATGAAGTTAAATATTTAATTTAAGCTTTGTTGATAAAAGTTGAGATACTGAAATTAATTTACATTTTGGCTATAATGATTTGATTAATCATTACAGCCAAAATGTTTACTATTGTTACATAATGTAGCATATGGTCTGCTCATAACAATTGATTGTTATTTTGGACTGTATGTGCAAGATCCATCACTCTCTTGGACAGATAAAAAGGTAGGTCTTAGAATCAAGGAGATAAGAGTTTTAAAACTTTTCAATTTGATAAATGTTAATTAACATTATTTTAATATTTTTATTTCAAATAATTTTATTTGTAAGTATAATTTATTTCTTGTCCTTTAATTTGAATACTTTAAGAAAAAATTAATCTAAATAATCATTCAACTATCAATGGATAAAGAAAAATTTACCCATCCCATCATAGTTTCTTTACTTCCAGAATAAAATAACGTTTTTAACGGTCTAGAGGGATTATACATTCTATGATGAAGGTATTGATATAATCCATAGAGGGACGTCCAATCTTCTGGTGTTGTGTATGGAGCTTTAATACGGGGACTTGTGAACTGGGCAGTAGATCTGGATTTATAAAGAAAATGCCTCAGTTCTGGTATTCCCACTTCACTGACAGAATATCCAAAATCTTTAAGTGATTTATTTATTACTTCTAAACAATGATGTTTTTTTAACCTCTGTATAAAAAAATTTGTCTATGAATATTTTATATAAAATAAATTATTAAAATTCAAACATTAAACTTACTTCAACAATCTTGCGGCGGCATTCCTGAAGGCTATAAAACAGTTCTTTATCAACAGTTAATAATAAAAGACAAGCTGGACAACTATCATCCAAATATGATATGTGAGCATGAAGAAATCCACTAAAATTGAAAGTGAATATATTTTTTAATTTAATTTTACTTTTTATTTATGTTTATAAATATAATATTTAATGAGTAAAAATAATTCTTATAATTCTACTTTATTTATTACAAAAATAATATATTTTCACCTTGCATCAAATTTTGGTAAGCAGATTGGAATCCAAGATTCAGCAGTTTTCAAAGATTCAGAAGATTTTACTAAATTCATAATTAAATGTAGATCAGCAGGATGTAAGGAATATTTTTTCATTCTTACTAATGTTACTAACTGATTATCTGCTATCAGTATAGCAAAAACAACATTCTAGAAACAAAAAATAAAAAAATTAACTTACTTTTAAAGATGCATTAAAATTATTGTGTGTAATAGATACTTTATTATTATAAATAGTAGCATTGTATTATATTTTATTACACCTAATTGTATTTTTACACAAACTTTTTTTAAACAATTTTGATTTAACATTTTTAAAAAATTTGTCAAGTATGATCCTAATGAGGAATGAGCTTCAAAGTTTCAACGTGGTCTGAAATTGTTAATGTTGTCTTTTAGAAAGTTACATTAAGGCCTAGCCACAATATGAACCCAGCCATCAATAACTGAATTCATTCATACAACCATTGTAACATCAGCATCACAGGACATTACTGTTAACATTATTCAGCAGTTTACAGAAAGAACTTCACCTGTGGACAAAGAGCACGATAACCAAAGCACTTTTAGTGATAGAAGGGGTATTGCAATCAAGCACAAATGTATGCATTTATTGTCAGAAAGTGACAGTGAATAAAATGTTATATATATAGCTCACATTACATATCCTGTCCAATTTTTATATGTTCATTAATTCTTATAATTTTTTTTTGGTTTTTCAAATGAAATTTATGTTTGCACATAAATAAGAATGAATTATAGAAAGTATATGAAATAAAATTTGATAACATGAAAAAAAAAATTCTAACAAGAGTTTTCATATGGTTTATTTCATTATTTTCATTGATTTCTTAGATCTGTAACCAATCTTTTAATTTTCCATACATACAATATATTTTTTTACACAATTTCTGGGAACCAATCTATCATGTAAAAACAGAATTAGGTGTATATTTAAAAAAAAAGGGGAAATACAGTATCTAATTTAATGAATTATCACAAAGTTATTTGAAAGAAAATTTTTAATAAAAGTCAATATTTTCAAAACTGATACAAAAATGAATTGAAATATTTTTCAAAGCAAAAATATTTCAATCCTTTACCTCTTAAAGTATTTTGTTTGTAATGCAGTTCTACTTTAAAAAATTGTTTCCTTTCTAACTTATGAAAAAGAGAATTTTGAAAATCATATTAGTTACTAAATTTTGGATAATAAATTAGTCTGCAATGTCAATAGCATTTAAACTAAATCATCAACAACAGGTTGATAAGTATATAAATCTTCTCCAGAGAAAGTTAAAGTATAATTACACATATATTTTGTTTGAAAATAATGGTGTCATTATTGTGATTTTTGCTTACATATTGAAAAATTTCTAAATTGTGAAATTAAAAGCAAAACAAGCAGATTTATACATTAGTAATATTTTGTTATAAAATAACATCATCACATCTATTGTTGTCATTAATAAATTGGATGAAAAAGGGTTGATATTCATAGGTATCAAAATACAGAAAACATACTGAGATTTTTAAAAAATAATACTGCATGCCAATAATAAAAACTTAGGTTAAATAAGTTAAATTTTTTACAAATATTTAATTTATTTTAAATTAATACAGGAAAATACTTTACAATAATTATTTATTATTATAATTAAAATTTAATAATACATATAGATTCAGAAAAAGTAAGTACCTTAATTTTTCCACAATAATGTGACAATGTTTGTCCTATTTGTTCTCTGACTGAATTATCTAAAGGCAAAGATCGTACAGCAGTTAAAAGAAAACTCGGATCTTGGTCCATTATATCAATCAAATTATCCAGCATTTTCTCTGCTCCTCCAAGTAATCGCCGTAAGTCATAATTATGTCTTTGTTCAAATATACGATGTAACTGGCTATGAGTAAGCACTGACAAAATTTGATTATAAATATATATTAATTGATTTTGTAATTGTGGAACTGATGCTTTAGTATTTGCCACACAAACAAGAATTAAAGGTGATTTATTTAGAAAAACAAATTTATGTTCTCCAGCATGAAAGGACCTAATTATATCACCACTTTCTTGAACAAAAGAAACTAATGCTTGCATGACACCCATCATAGTAACTAATTTGTCTTCATTTCCATGTCTAAAAATAAAAATTGAAAATAAAAAATATTAATTTCATAAAATAATACAGAAAATGTTTATTTTTTAACAGCATTATTTCTTGTGATAAAAGCATTGTATGTACCTGTACAGTACATTTAATGCATTATACTGATTATTAATATATTTATTGTGCTGTAAATTTAATGATTTTTTTAATTACGTTTTTCTATTAGATGAAGTAAGACAGACAGAGAAAATATTGGAGATTTAACTATGAAATATCCTAATGTAGTTTGCAAAATAAGACATTTTTACATATATTTTTTTGATTCTAATATGCATCAAAAACTTTAAATTGAATTTTAAGAATGCTTTTTAGAAGAAAATTTTAATGATTAATTTTTAAGTTTTGTTAAATAACAATTTAGAAAAACAATACAAATGCCTAAAGATAGATAATGTTCAGTAGCTCTACTGCTATGTTCTTCTGCATATACAATAACTTTATGCTTTAATGTGCATTATAAAATGTATATGATCTAACTTCAATGACTATTTGATGTTGTTCTGAACTGTAAGTGTAAGATGCATCTATTTTGGACAAGAAAAAACATCTTTGACCCAAGGAAATATGATGATGATAGTTTGTAATGCAGAATAATTGAAATTTGTTTACAAATATATGAAGAGAAATATTTAACAAAAAGTAACCTTTCATTATGATAAAACTTAGACTGTTAATATCTAATTTATAGTATTTGATATTATCACATGAAATTCAATAATAATTTTTAACTGTATGGATATTTCAGATATGAAAGTACAATTATATAAATGGGAATGAGTGATAAATGAAATGATTTAAATATTTATTATGCTTTTTTATAACTATTATTTTTTTTAATCAAACTGCTAGTATTGAACACTTAAGCATTCTATCAGATTTCATCCTACAAAACAGTTATTTCTGAATACTTTCATGCAAATTAAAGAAATGTCAATAAACAAGTTTATAACTGTGGTCGTTGATATTTTTCCAAATATAAAACAATTCTAATTTTAAGTACTATTTTACAATGTTTAAATACAATTGGANCATTTTTATATATATAGATTAGTGAAAATGACCATACATCTGAAAATATAAGTTTGTACAAGAAACTAATTTATTTTCTATTCAAAAATCCAAAAATTTTGCATTAGACTTAATTCTATGAATATTTTGGACTATATACTACACTATCCAGAATGTGTAACCGGTGTGTGACATGTATATATTGTATACCACTGTTGATGAACGATTTCGAACAATCTCTTTGCTCTTCTTCAGGTCAACTGGAATTCCCTGGACGGAGTATATTCTATTTGTTGGGATTACGTGTCATTCCAATGAAATGGGTTCTTTCAGACATGCGTGGTCGTGTGGTGGAGGGGGAAGTTGCAGGTTGATATCCAACAGTGATTGCCAGGCCAGAGATAGTCAGCTCCTCTTTCCGGTTAACGCACGTGGCTACACAAAAAAACTATTGTTATAGTCAACACACCCCACCAGGATATATTTAAATATTAAATAAATACTCCAGTTCTTCAAACAAACCTAGAATAAATAGGTTTTCCTGCCTCACTTAAAATAAAAACATGTTTTTTCTGCTGTTTCCATTCAGTACTATATACATCGCCTTCACATTTTTCTTCTTCCATTTCAGGCTGATCTACTATTGATAATTCTTGCAATTGATCTGTATCCACCTGCATAAAATATTTACAAGAGAATTTTAAGTAAATATGCTTTTAAATTACAGTTATTGTTTTAGTAAAGTTAATTTATAAAATGTTAATCACAAAGTTTCTTCACTATTAAAAGCTTACTTTTAATCTTCAATACTTTAAATTTAGTATAAGCAATATGTATTCATAATAAAAAAAACATCAAAAATTATATTGATAATGTGTTATATACTAAAAGAAATTTAAACATCAAAGGTACTTTTGTCTATATTAATTTTATTTTTATATATTTTATGAAGAGTGTGATCAATATATTTGTTTTCAACATTACACTTATGTGAATTAAAGCTTTATTTTGACAATCTTCGTGAAAAATTTTCATTATGTAACAGATTGCTTTAACAAAATATATACAGTACAGGACCCATAAGTTTTCAGAATGTGTTTTTGAATGCTGCCACATGAGAGCGCATGTCTTGACAGCCATTAAGATACTACTAGTTGTTAGAGTAGGTTTGCAGTTTTTAGTTTTTCATTGGCAACATGCCTTATAAAACCAGTATAAAATCAGGTAGATATTGTGCAGTGGTCAGCTGCCATAATAGGCAGAGAGTACTTTATAAGTGGTTTAAAGCTGTATGCAATGTACACGAAAACATGATACATCAAGATTGTCCATGTATTCAACTGTTCCAATTACATTTGTTACCAGTGATGAAAATGTAAAAAGAGAATAGGTAACCAACCAACCAACCAACCAACCATGCTTATACATCCAGCTAGATAAATAACTGCCATCATTAGACATACAAGTCCGTACAGAATGATTACTTGCAGATAGGATTTATGATGGCTGTACATTTGTCTTAAGGACATAAATGTTTTGTGACAATTTACTAATTAATTAAAATTTTATCTAGTTTACCACTTGAAAAATAATTATAAGAGTCAAGACTCCTATAATTAAGCATTTCTTGGTAATCATAGACTTTACTTTTAATAAGGTATTCAAATATAGCTGGATATTCCAAAGATGGCCATTCTCTCATGTCATTATTTCACAATTTTATAGTACTAACTAGCTTACCCATCGCGCATTGCTGCAATCTCAGAAGAAATGAAATTCAAGCAAACTTGTTATAATAAAATTCAATTTACATTTTATCATTTTTATTGAAACTTATTATTATTATTCATTTTCATCAGAAAAACATTTCAAAGTGTCATTTCAATTCTATTTATTTATTGGAGTGCTTGTGGCTACATGATATTTTTTGTTTTTCCATCTGGTGCGTACACGAATAAATCGGAAGGTTTCCAACGTGTGAGCTGGCCACATACAGTTGTACATGTGAGAAGCACGGATTTTCCAAATCTAGCCCACACACTTGCAGCAATTGTCAGAAGTGCGATATTCCCCATTTTTATATATATAGATTAGTGAAAATGACCATACATCTGAAAATATAAGTTTGTACAAGAAACTAATTTATTTTCTATTCAAAAATCCAAAAATTTTGCATTAGACTTAATTCTATGAATATTTTGGACTATATACTACACTATCCAGAATGTGTAACCGGTGTGTGACATGTATATATTGTATACCACTGTTGATGAACGATTTCGAACAATCTCTTTGCTCTTCTTCAGGTCAACTGGAATTCCCTGGACGGAGTATATTCTATTTGTTGGGATTACGTGTCATTCCAATGAAATGGGTTCTTTCAGACATGCGTGGTCGTGTGGTGGAGGGGGAAGTTGCAGGTTGATATCCAACAGTGATTGCCAGGCCAGAGATAGTCAGCTCCTCTTTCCGGTTAACGCACGTGGCTACACAAAAAAACTATTGTTATAGTCAACACACCCCACCAGGAGCATCTCAGGTGGCTAGAGGCCCCGGCTATCTACAACATCGGCCGGGTAGCCACATGTGTTAACCAGAAAGAGGAGCTGACTCTATCTCTGGCCTGGCAATCACTGTTGGATGCCAACCCACAACTTCCCCCTCCACTGCACAACTGCGCATGTCTGAAAGAACCCACTTCATCGGAATGACAACTGATCTCAACAAATAGAATAGAATACACTCCATTCAGGGAATTCCAGTTGACCTGAAGAAGAGCAAAGAGATTGTTCAAAAACGTTTGTCAACAGCAGTATACAATATATATGCGTCATGCACCGGTTACAGGTTCCAGATAGTGTAGTGTAGATTTCACCCCGGTGCTGAGAGTAGAATAGTTTCTCTATTTTGGACTATTTTATGAATTAAACAGTGAAATAAAATTTTACTAAAAATCCACTGTTATTGTTTATCAGGATATATTTATAAGCCAATTTTGCCAATTAACTTCTAGAAGAAAAGTAGAATTTAAGATTTCTTACTTTTACTTTAAATTTTTATCAGTTTTAAAAAATTCTTCTTCAATATGAATTTAGCACACTTATTTCTTTATATTAGAAAAATTTAAACATGTGTAAAAAGATTAAAAATACTCTCCTTATAAATTAATATATAAAATCCCTTACAATTACTAAATAAGTGGTGTTATGAACAATTTCTATTAGTCATTTAAAAATCAATTATATTTTCAATTCTATAGATCTGCACTTGCGTAGTTCTTGCAGTATCTTAATGGCGGTGTGACAGTGGCACTAAACTATGAAAAAATATATGAATCTTGTCTGGAAACTTGTGGATATGTTATTGTCAAAGAAGTAATATGAAACTTGGTACCATATTCAAAATTCAAAAATAAACTGCTAAGTTATCACAGTATGTATTAGAAAAAAAAATGTTTTTGAACTAATTTAGTTCAGCATTAGCTCTTCAAATAAAATATTTTTGAATTATATTTGTAAATGTTCTATTATAAATTTTGTTTTGAATAGATTGTTACAGTTAAAAACATAACAATATTAATTTTAATACCATAAGCTCTAATTGCTGAAATGTATTTTTAACATCTTGCTAACTTGATAAATAAACAAAACTTGTTTTCTGAAATGACATTAAATAGTTTTCCTTAATCCAATATTTCATTGCAACTAAAGCACTTTTATTTCCATTTTTTTACACACAAGGTTCAAGATATGTTGTTTGGTTGTTCCATCCTCTTTCAGTCTCTACAAGTATTAATGCTACAATAATCTTTACTTAAAAATCAATATAAATAAAATTACTTAATACAGTTTTGGAAAACATATATGAAATCTCTTGTACCAACAAATATACATGCCAATTTGTGCTGTATTTTTTTTTTAATCTACAATTTTGCCTTGATATAGCAATTGTAAGTGCTCTTCCTTCTGTCAAACAAATACATTTGGCAAATTCAAGCTGTCAATTTTATGAGGAGAAATACCACCCAACAAAAGTAAATGTTCCTATTTTGAACCCCAGTTCTTGTTAAAGCATCTCAAAACACTTAAAATATTTTGCTGTCATCCACACACACACAGAAACAGACAATTTATTTTCTACTTGCAAGATAAAGGTAATTTACAAACAACTCAAAATACAGTCAACCCCCTATAACACTGTTGATTATTCCGTTTTATATGAATTCCATGTTGTATGAGTCACTTAGATTTTACAAATACATGTGCCAGGCTGTGAACAGCTCACGAATTTGTAAAATCTAAGTGAATCGTACAACATGGAATTCATATAAAACAGAATAATCAACAGTGTTACAGGGGGTCGACTGTATAACAAATTTCATGCATCTTGGGATTGTTTGTTTTATCTATAACCAGTGGGGTGTTTATTCACTTTCATTATTACTGCAGCAAAAATACAATCACTCTTTGTTTACTTTGTTTTCTGTCATGGCATGACTCACTTCATATTATTTTATTGCAGAACAATTGTGATTTACTGGCATTAAAAATGTTATTTTCAGCGTATGCTTTGAGGTTGGTCTCAGTGTCTCCAGCCACTCTTATACTGTCTAAATGTTTACTGATCCTGATCCACTGAAAATGCATTGAGAATGGTGGAAAACTGGTGCGAATCATTGTAACCAGTCATTTGAGCACTTGAAATTTGATATTCCAAACTTTAAAGTTTAATTTGATATGCTTTCCCCTCTCAGCATGTCATTACTTCTGTTCTTACAGAACTATTCTCTAAAAAAAGTGACATCTTTATACTTTGCTCTACAAACCTGCTTTCTGTGATTTACTTATAAGACAGACTTTTGCAGCAGTTCTAATTTTTTTGATGTTTTTCAACTATGTGGATAATGTTGAGGCTGACACAACTCTTTCACTATGAAACATTTGCTTCTCTCATTTTTCTCTACTTCTCAGATGGCAGTAAGTCTTCTTGGACTGCAATTTGAAAAAACCACAGACCTATAAATTCCCATTGTTGTCCATCTGTCTGTCTTTCCTTAATCTTGAAAATGGAGTTAGATAAATGAAATCCAAGACCAGAAATGGAAAGCTTAGGGGCAGGAGGCCCCAATTAACTGTATATGAACTTCTGATGCAAACAGGAAATCCTATCATTTCAATTCAAAAAGTTTTCCCTGTAAGGAGTTAGATATATGATGGCATGACTATGTTGCTAACAGGAAAAGTATGACGTACAGGGGCAAGACATTACTAATTTGAAATGGAAAGCATAAATTTAAAAAATATGATTAAAAATTGCAGCCCGACATTGTGATGATGTCACAATAAATAATTTTGTGTTATTTTCCTTACTAGTTGAAATTGGGAGTTCATTTTGTTTTGTCTTTCCATCACATTTACAGTTTGCACTACTTTAAATGCATGAAATGTATAAAATTAACATCAATTTGCTTCTCTTAATTAAACAGGGTAGTATATGTTTGGCATGATCAGTAGCCAAACAGTCAAAAATCAATATATTCCATTTTATAAGAATGTAATGGATTATACACTTAATCTAACAAAGATCACTACATTTCTAAGCAACCAATATTTACACTGAATTTAAACTGACCAATTAACAAACAAGACTGTTATTAATACTGTAAGGTCTCGTT